GGCTCTGCCTGTTCTGCTCCCCGCTCTGTGTCTGGTGAGTCCTCTCACCCTCCTGCACCCCAGCTCTTGTGTGCATAAATAAATCTTTAGAAAATATCAGCTTGTCCAGTTATGGAGGCTGAGAAACCCCAAGGCTGCCCACCCGCAAGCCGGTTGACCAGGAGATGCTGAATTCAGGTTGCGAAGGCCCAAGGACCGGGGGACCAGTGGTGTAGTCTCAGCCCAGAGTGAAGCCCCACGAACCAGGAGTGCCGTGTCCAGAAGCAGGAGCAGATGGGTTTCCAGCTCTAAGAAAAAGCAGGTTCCTTCAGCTCCCTGCCCTACTCCCAGCAGAGCGCTGCGGTCTGCACGGGACGGCGGCTCCTTCCTGAGCCGGACCCTCAAATGCTGACTCCAGAAACACGTCCCAGACGCCCGAGGGAGCGTGTCCCTGGCGGCCTGAGGCCTCTGCCCAGTCACGCCAGGACACTCACTCAACACAGCTAACACGCACACGTTCTTCTTGGTTTGGGTCAAATCGATGCCCCAGAGCAAACCAGAAGGAGGCCTTCCTCCCCTCGGGTGACGCTGCGTGTGCTGCGCGCCGGGGCTGCTCTCCGTGGCTCCAGCCGGCCCAGGCCAGCGCCGGCCCTGGGGGTCCGCAGGCCTCCCGGCCTTTGGCCCAGGCCGCTTCTCCGGCGGGGCACACGGGTCTCTGCCTCCTCCTCGTCCCTGCACTCCTGGGCGGGTGGCTTCCTCATGCTGCCGGGCTGGGCCCCAGGCGGGAGAGAGCGGCCTCTCAGCCCCCCGCCGAGCTGCAGCCACTGTCTGTCTCGGGGCGCCGCTGCTTTTACACGCGGCTTGGCTGTGTCCTGCCCACCTGCATCTGCGCCGGCCTCCCCTTTTCTTCCTCCTTTTCCTAGTAAACTTGCCCTTTCCGAGTGTAAAAATGAATACACGAATCTGGCTGAATGTCAATAGCAAGACAGACACGAAGCCATCGGCCAGAGTGTTGGCGAGAGGCAGAGGCGAGAGGAGTGTAGCCGGCCAGGAGCAGCCTCGGCTGGTGGAAGGAGAAGCTGACTCGCCCGCGGGCCTGCCTTCTGTCCTCTTGGCCTTCGGACTAATTGTGACCAACGGGAAGACAGGTCGCTGCTCTGCAGCCCCCAGGCATGTGGGCACAACTGCACTGGGTGCCCCACGAGCTCCGGGGGTCCTGCCCCAGGCCTGGACTGCTCGTTATGCCTGCAACCGCACTTCTCAAGGGAACTTGTTAAGTTCCCTCCTCCCCAGCCGCGCCCCACACGCCCCCGCGCCTGTGGGCTCAGCCACCCTCTCCGGAGCCCGGGAGCTGCAGCTTCCTGAGCCGTGGCCTGAGGCCGGGGTGGTCGGCCCCTCCTGCTCCACACTGTGTCTCCTGGGTAGCCTGTCTGGGGTGGGGAGGCCCCCACGGGAGGAAATGGGACCTCAAGCCCAGAGGCAGCCCGAGGCCCTGCTGCGCTGCTGGGCTCTGGGATAGGGGGTGCTGGTGACCCCCAAGACCGGAGAAGTGCGGTTGCAGGCATAACGAGCAGTACAGGCCTGGGGCAGGAGCCCCGGAGCTCGCGGGGCACTCAGTGCAGCTGTGCCCACATGCCTGGGGGCTGCAGAGCAGCGACCTGTCTTCCCATTGGTCACAATTAGCCAGGAAGAAGTTTTCACATGAAATATTCCAATTATTTGGGTTCAAAAAAATTCTGTGCAGAGCCTCCCTGGTGGCACAGGGGTTAAGACACAAACTATGAAACTGTGCGCAGCCTCTGCAGCGCAGGTTTGCTCCTCAGCCGGCCGGGGAACTACCCACATGGCACGGCAGGCCTCTCCTGTCTCCCCGCTGCTCCCCTCAGCAGTGGATTTCGTCAGTCTGCCTGTTCTGTTTCCCGCTCTGTCTCTGGTGAATCCTCTCACCCCCCGCATCTCTGGCCTGTACCCCAGCTCTTGTATAAATAAATAAATCTTTAAAAAAAAAAAAGGTCCGTGCAGAATGAAGCAAACTAGTCAACCCAGCTCTGCACCAAGCCTGGCCCGGGGGCTCTGCCCGTCTCGGGGTCAGAGCTCCCCCGACACCGGCCTGCCTGAGCAACAGCATCCGGCGCCTGCAGTAGCCCAGTCTGGAGCGCGAGGCTGCGTGTGCCCAGGAGGGCCGGCCCTGGGACACGACGTTCCAGCCCCTCCTTTCAAACCTGTTTTCTGGAACTCTCTTCTTTGAAAGCAAGCTGACGCCTGTGTGGACCGAGGCTTCTCAAGTGACACCTGACATTACGTGAGCTGCGTGACCTCCGCACGAACAGCGTTACAGAGGATGTGAAATTAAACCTAGCAACGTGAAACTTCCGTTGCTTGTTGGTTGAAAGACAGCACTCATCCAGGGCCCCCCCTGGCCAGGGGGAGCAGGGACTGTCAACGGCATGTTAAAGGGCCCCCTCCCCTGCGAGGGAGGTGTTCGCCCTGGGGGGGTGGGCGGGGGTGTCTCAGCAGCCTTCCAAGCAGAGCTCTTTCTCCACAGGGTGAGTGAATAGCGTGGAGTTGGCAACTTTTGTCCTCTGTTACCGCAGCCCCCTAAAAGAACAGATCAGCATTTTCAAAGGTCCGGTGTCCCCGGACTGGCTTTGATTTATAGGACTGACAAGGTCAGCGCTTCGGTGGCTGGGGCCCAGAGCATCGTATTGAGAGAGAGAGAGAGCCGGTTTATCTCCTGCCTCCAGATGTGCTCCTGGTCCTCCATGGAGCTAAACCTCCGCCGCGGGGGCCACGGCGCCTCTGGTGATGAGTGGTTCGCCGTGCTGTGAGCGAGACCACCTCTTCCCACGAGGGGACAACGAAGCCCCGCGTCACGCCGTTGCTGCTGCAGCTTGCTGCTTTTTCCTCTTCGCTTCTCTCTGCTATCGTCAAAGATGTAAGAAGAGCCTGCAGGTGCGTCCATGCTCGCCTGCTCTGAGCCAGGGCTGGGTTGCATTTCCAACCCCCTCTCTCTGGCTGTCACTGGTCACGAGCAGCAGGGAGCGCGCGGAGTTCAGGGTCACGCTAATGGCTGCAGGCCCGTCCGGCATCTGAAACAAAGAGGCTGCAGTGGGACGGCAGCTGGACTCGTGGAGAAACAGCAAAGGCAGAGGTTGTCCTCAGACCCGACTCGGGCGCTGCGCCCATGACATACAAGGCAGAGGAGCGTGGGAATGCCAGCGCCGAGATCCTTTTCCCAACACGACGTAGGAGCTGAACTGAGAGGCTTAAGAAGCAGAGCCGCATTTCAACTCTAATGTTCCCCGAGTCAGAGCAAGTCAGCACCCGCCCCAGGGCCAAGCATTGGAGGTAAAGCCACTTACTCACGTGTGCACACATGCACACACTCACTCATGCACACACAGCGTGTGAAAAGCAGCACATCTGTGGAGACCTTGCTCTGCAGAAGCGCACGTGACAGGCGTGACAGAGCGTGTTGAAGCTCCCCCTCAGCCATCCTGGGCCCCAGATGGGGCCTCCATCACAGAAGAGCACAGAGCCGGCCTGGAGTGTCTCGTTCACCCCACTCTGTCTTGACCGGAGAGTGGGCTCTGTGAGACGGGCCCCTCCACTTCCGAAAGCTGAACTCCAGTTGCTGGAAGCTGGTGCCGGGATGAAAGCATGGGCTGGGTAGCCGGGGCTCCTGGGGAGCTTCAGGCCTGGCGGAACTGGCCCACAGGCGTTCCCCAGGCCCCTGCCTCGCGGGCTCTCGGGCTCAGCTCGTGGTGACCTGGCTCTTTAAGTAGCTCTTCTAGACGGCAGGCAGGATGGCCGCCCAGCCTAGCCCCACCTCAAATCCAACATTCTGGCCGCAGGAGAAACTCTTTGCAAACAGCTTCTGGCAGGAGCCTGTCCTGCTCCTGGGCTGTCGGCTGACAGGAGACAGGTCTCCTGAATATCCTCCCACGGCCAGAGCTACATGGCCCGAAGCGCGGGCAAGGCCAGGCGAGAGGCCTGCTTGGAGCTTGAGCCTCTTGGTGGTCAGACTCATGGTTCCAGCATCCTGAGGCCAGGCCTCGGTCCGTGTTCACAGCCTTTCCCTGTGCCTGTGCCGAGGCTCGCCTCTGGAGGCCCCCAAATCCGAAACCCAGAGTCACCCAGTTCCTGGATTCTCATGCGCCGACACTTCACATTTTGCAGCTAATCATTTTATAAATAGGGATGTGATTAACGCCTTTAACGCTATTTCTGCGATCACTGAGGGAATTAGGATTTGCTTGCTCCTCTATTTTTGTCGTGGCGTCTGCTCTGGGGCTAATAGGGCATCAGCTGGTCCTTACTGAGCACCTGTTATGTGTGTCAGTGACGTGCGTGAGCAGGCCCCATCGGCGCTGTGTGCCGGGCAGGGACCCTGGCGGTCACGGGCACGTGGGCACCAGGCGGTCGGTGGAAGTGCAGCTGAGGGCACGGAGCGAGCTGACTTCCTCACTCTGTCCCAAGAACGTACATTGAGAGGAGGGTGTGCGCTCGCCGGGAGGTGCAGAGGCTGCTGGGGAGGACAGAGCTTTCCAGTGAGCCGATGCCCAAGAGCACTACAGGGGCGGGCAGGGCCCCGTCTTCTCTGCCGAATTCTGACTCTTGGCCTGTCCAATCGCTGTCCTGACCCTGCTTTATGCGTCAGGAAGCCGGAACAGAACGTGAAGCCGGTTGTGAGCAGGCACGCTGCCCGGGCGGGCAGAGCTGGAGCTTGGACCCCAGCCTCTCCGTGCAGCTGCCACCTCACACCACCCACCAGCCGCGTCACCAGACCTGGCAGGGGCCCTTCCCGAGAGCCTCCACGCCAGTAGATCCTGCCACCAGTCCCGGCCCCTGCTCCTGTACTGGCACAGGGCTCTTCCCAGACTGCGCCTGGGGCCAGGGTCAGCACCCCACAGCCCGATAATGCGTGGTTTATAGTTCGAAAGAGGATAATGAAGTGAGCACTGTCCTGTGATTGGCCTGAGGTAAGCTCACCTGTTTTGGCTAATTTGCTTTGATTCCAGAATCACCATTTCTGAAGACGGAAGCCTCAGGATCGTTAACGTGACCAAGTCAGACGCTGGCAGCTACACCTGCGTCGCCACCAACCACTTCGGAACGGCCAGCAGCACCGGGAACTTGGTGGTGAAAGGTAAGGCCCACCTGGTCACGCGCACGCTCTCTAGCGCCCCCTGTGTCCCACAGATGAGCTGCAGGTGGCGTCCCGCCAGGAACAGGTGCTGCGGTCACTGCGCCGCTGGATTAATTCATCATGGTAAGCATGATATGATTAATAACTCCTCGAGAACGGTCGGTAATGGGTATGATGGAAAGGCTATCTCGTTTCAGAATCGCCCAATACAATGTGGAGAATCACAGCCTTTGTATCTGTTAGAGAATTGTAAGTAATGTTATCTTCAATCCTTTAATTAAATTTCCTTCAAGTCTCGATAGATTTGGAATTCATGTGCTAACAAATTAGAAACCCGAGACTCACTCAACTGCTATTTTTAGCACATGCTGTTGAAACGATGACATTGGCAATTTTTAATAGCGCCGCCCCAGTTCCTGAAGATGTGGGCATGGATTATCGAAACAAAGGGCGCTGACCGGGGCTGTGCTTGGGCCGCCCGCCAGTGCTGTCAGCTGTACAGATACAAGGCCTGCACCCGGGCCTGGCATTTCATCATTCACGTGCCCGTGATCGAGTCTGCCCCGGCAGCGTGTCACTGGGCGGGCTGGATGGAAGGATTGTGAAGGGGGCGATTTTAAATGACATTTTATTTCCAGTTCTCTCACTTTACACTTGCTGAGTCGTAGTATTTCAGGTTGAAGGGTTCTTGGCAGGGATCTGGACTTAGGAAAGGCTCCAGCTGCTGAGTTCTCAAGGTCAGCAGCTACAGCAAAGGGCCCTGGACCAGGAAACCTGGCCCGCGGCCTCCGCAGCCCCTCCCACGCCAGGGAAGGCTCCCCCACACCTGGCCTGCTGCTCCCTGACAGGCCCAGATCAGTCGTGCACAGCACCCTCCGTGGCCATCTGTAGCTCCCTCCTAGGAGATAGCCTAAAGCAAATAAAAATACCCAAGAAGACAATATGCCTGAATTTTAACTTAAATAAGGAAGCTACAGTTCATCTGATTAACATTTGGGGAGTCATTGGAAGTTGGAAAAGTACTACCCCGTTTTTACAGAACATTGAGAGATGCAGCCAGAAGGAAACCTGTCCTTCGATGAGACCGACGGCAGCTGTCCCGGCCCGTGGCGCGGTCGCTGCAGGAGCCCACAGTGTGGCCGTGTGCTCACTGCGTCTCACAGGCCAAGGACAAGGAGGTCGAGTTCTAGCTGGAGAGCTTTGCTAATGTCGGACTAGCTCAGCTGCAGGAGGAAAACGAGGGCCACCTGGAGCCAGGAGGGGCCACGGTTTCAGAACCGTGAGAGCCGGCTGGGTCCCCTGCAGGTTTGCCCTGTCATGGAGAGGGAAGACAGTCGGAGCCGGTAGCCTCGAGTCGGGAAGGTCAGCCCGGAGCCTCCTCACTCCCACTCTGGGATCCTGACCTTGGCGGGGTGACTCACCTGTGCTTGGGGATGGCAGGACCCCTCGAGGTTGTCCTCACGACTGAGATACCCCATATTCGGTGCTCCCTGTGGCGCCTGAGCCTAGGAGATGTTCGTGCTGGCTCCCTTGTTTCCACTTCCATGGACTCGCTGCCGTGCCTCGAAACCTTATTAAAACCAACACTGATGACGTGTCCGCCTCCAACCCATTAGAATGATTAGCGGAGAGGGGTGAGCCTGCCCCAGGGAAATGTCTCAGAGCATGAGGTCTATCAGCTTCCGATCACAGAGTCACGTCTAGGCCCTCCCAGCCACCCACGCCCTTGTGCCCAGCACAGACCCTCCAGCCACCCCTCCCCTGACTCGTGTGCAGGGTTTACAGACACGGGGTGCACGCGGACGCGACAGCCAGCTCACGCGGTGTGCGGACGGCGCCGGCTGAGCTAGAGGCTATGACCTGACACTGGAGGCGTCACTGCTTGCTCCCCACAAGCTGCCCCGTGCCCTGCGGGCGCCGCTTCTCTTTCCTCTTCTCCCAGTAAACCCGCCCTTCAAAATGTGAATAAACAAGCAGCAACTCCCCAGGCATGGTATCAGAGATCGTTTCGGGCAGCCTGTAAGCTTTTTATTTTATTTGGGTCATCATTTCTCTCCATGTTTTCAGGAAAACACTAATTTTCCATTACTGCAACGATAAAAATTATTTTTAAATGTAGTTACGTAAGGAAGCAAGTTGGTAAAAAGCGTCAAGTGTGCACTGTGCCGCCTGCGTGTGCCGCCTGCGTGCAGAGGGCAGATGTCGAGTGAGAGGCGCAGTGGAGGGCAGCTTCCAGGAGGACGTTGGGACTCGTGGGGAATCCAGTGCCCGCCGACACCACACACCCGGGCACTCTGTCAACTGAAATTGCTGGTGGGCGGGGAAGGGCGGAGCTGGGCAGGTGGGCGGGGGCCGAGGTGGGTGGCCAAGGCCAGGGCCCCCGAGGCTGCTGCCTGCTGGTCCTCGCCCTGCCAGGCCCCTCTCCAGAGGCCGCTGGCCTCAGCCCCCTTCCAGCCAGGTGGGGCATACGAGCCTGTCCGTGCCGGCAGTCAGGGGAGTGAGCGGCCCTGCCACTTGTGCCGCGCCAGAAGGTGCTTTCAAGAACATTCCTCCCGGGGCAGGCGCTGACGCCGGGGGGCGCTGACGGGACATGCAGGTGGGCCCCGGGGCTCCGGGAAGCGTGTTTACAGAACCCAGAAATGCGTGGTGGAGCCAAGAAGGCCGCTGTGATCTCGGCGTGACCTTGCGTGGCCTATGTCCAAGCCCAAACGGCACGTCACAGCCCAGCCCACACCGTCCGTGCAAGGGCGCGGCTTCCCGTGGTTGCGATTGAGCCCCAGGTTTTGCTTCCACTTGAGGTCTACAGAGGGACGGGCCTGTCGGGGGTTTCTCCCCCCTTACAATGTTCTCGTCCTCTCTTGATCTCCCGTGTCTGGGATTCGAGCCCCGGGAAGGTGGGACATCGGAACACGCCTCCCCTCACCTTCTTGTAACCACTGCGTCGTTCACAGCCCGACTCTCTTCCTCCCCCCTCGTGTCTGAGAGAGGATGATGGTGGCAGGCACGGGTCAGGAGCAGGAGGCGAAGGAGGGGAACCCACCGCCGCAGGCGCGGGGCTGACATCAGCCTCTGGCAGGCACGCGGGAGCCGAGAAGGCCCCAGGCCACGTGCCAGCAGGTGCCACACGCAGGACTCCGATGGGAGCCCGGGGGCTCTGGGCAATCATCCCGTCATCTGAATTTCTAAATTTTACGGCTTTTATTTTCTAAGCTAGTTACAGCCTATTTGAGATTTGGCTGTGATTTAATGGGAAGCAGGGACAGTTCTAATCAGGCTCCCAAGTCCCAGCAGAAGGCATAATATTTGACCTTTAAACAAAGATGTGCTTTATCGATGGTGGACGTCACTGGGCACGGGGTGGGGGGCGGGGGGCAGCCCTTCCACGTGCAGCGGAGTCCTTACCGACCACCGTTATCGCTACAGCGGGGTTGGATGCATGTGGTTCGGCACGACGTGGTGTCTTTGCTGCACAGGCTTCTAGGACAGATACTTTTAAATAGCAATCCTAGGGAAGAGCGACTTGGGGTGCTTATCTTGGCTGGGGTTCAGCAAGACCATCGCCACCCTGGCCCCTCTGACCACCTCCAGCTCCTGTCACCACAGTTACTGTGCAGAAGTGCGTCCAGAGTGACCTCAGGTAGCTGAAGGCGTCACTTCGAGAAAACTTGTCCTCGCAGGCCTGTCCAGGCCCCCACCAATGGAAGGGCGAGTCTAGGGGCGAGTCCTCAAAACCTACATCTTTAGTGCACGCCCCTTGGTGCTCAAGCACCCAGCCGGCACACGCAGCCTTCCCGGGGGCTGGAAGCCATGGCCCCTGGGCCAGATCTAGCTCGGCACCCACCTCTGCAGAGCCCACGGACCAAGACTGGTTTCCACAGGCTTCACCGCTTGAAAGAAAAGCGTCTGAAGGATATGTAAGTTTCTGAAAGTCTCTGCCACTCATGTCCAGGGCCATCAGTCAAGCTTCAGGAGCCCGCGTGTCTGCAGGCTGGCTTCGGCGGCGCCTGCGGAGCTGAGCACTCTTGGAGGCCAGAGCGTGCACGCGCCTGCTAGTAGCCCCAAGGTGCAGAGGAAAGCCCCAGGTGCAGAGCAGAGACCGCAGACAGCGTCCCCTCTCCCTGCTGTTCCTTCCCCAGGCAGGCGGCCCGCCAGGGGTCCCGGCTTCACACGCCCCCGCTGATGTTGGACACTTGCCCGAGTCCGGTCACGAGCCAGAATTGGTGGGAGGTTCTCTCCCAGGACTCCGCCTCCCCCCAGATCTTACCCAGCTCTTAGGCCCAGGAGAATCCTAACGCTCAAAACAGCCGTTGTCGCTTTTCAAGGCACTCGGTACTTCTGGAACTTTCTGCCATCATCAGCCTGAATCTGCAAAACTGCTCCATACTTAGCTTGCACACTTCGGAGGCTGCAGGTTATTCTTTTACAATTCTTTTTTTCCTTTTGAATTTGCCCTCCATGCAATTTTACCCTGATTTCATCCAGATTTAAAAAGATTCCTTCTGGTTCTGCTGTTCATTTAAATTTATTTTTCATTGCCCAGGATTTAAATCTCAGTGGTAAGAAAAAGGTTCTCAGTAGCATTTCACCGAGGCTGCATCTACTGCTCTCAGAAAATGTCTGTGTCCTGTCTCCCAAGGCTGCGCGTGAGGCTGTCCTCTGCTTGCCCCGCACCCACTGGATTCCCACAGCCAGGCACAGGGTGACTGTCTGCCTATCAGAGGACATGGATGCTTGGCAGGAAAGACTGTCAAACGCACGGAGATGGCAGGCAGCGGCCTCACCGGCCCGCAGACCGTGGGCATCACGTCCTCCGCGGCCGCAGGGCCTGAGACTCCGCCTCGCCAGGCAGAGCATGGCTGGCACGGCCTCCACAGGAACCTTTTTTGAAAATGAGTTGGAAGTGGCCGCATCGCTGGTGTAAAATTATTCAGGGCTTTCCCCACAGCTGACTGGGGATAAATCAGGTATCAGTAACCAGCAGTGACGTGTGGCTGCTAACT